GACTTTCCTCCACTGATAGGCTGTCAGTAGGCTAGAAAGGAAGAAAATTTACCAGGAGATATGTAGTTCATAGGTATATAAACTGAATTACAAAGAATCCAAGACCTTGGTAGGTCACACATTAGTGCTGGAAGAGTAGGTGGCAGACTCCTCCTTCTAAGGACAGTGTAGCCTGGACCTCTGGCACTGCTGTCCCTTTGCTACCATATCCTCCTGAACTTGGCAATGCTCAGATGAAAGCTGAGTTTTGAGGGCTGTTCTTTCTGGGAAATGTAGTCCAGAAGCTTATTTTCAGGAACAGAGTTTTATTTTGCCTGTGATTGGCACTTATTGAGATACCTTGGTTGTTGGGGTGTTCTGTGTAAGTAGGGCGGGTCCCATGAGTGATCAGATGGGTATCCTTAACGGATTCCTTAGAAGCTCCTCTGTGGCTTCCCCTTGTGTGTCTCTTTAAGGCAAAGAGAACAGAAAATACATAGTGGAATTACAAGAGAGAAGGAATCATTTATTCCATCATTTCATGAGAGATAAGCATTCTATTAAACATTAAAATATTCTATTGTAACATCTTTAGTGGACAGAGAAGAAAAGTGATAAGGATAAAACTAAAACTTTTCGGACCCACCAACTTCTATGAAACAAGCCATTTTACCACCTAGTAGTTAAAAACAATTAGTATTTATTACCTCGGTATCTGGGGTGGCTTTTCTGGGTGGTTCTCTTGTAAGTTCGTATAAGAGGGCAGTTAAGATGCTGCCAGGGCTTTGGGCCTCTGAAGTCTGGATATCCCTTTCCAAAGTCGTTTATTTACATGCTGTTGTTGTGGGAAGGGGGGCGGGGCTCAGTTCCTCCATAGGCATTTCTCCACAGGATGATAGGTGTCTCTCCATACTGCTTATCTTCCTCTATGAGGGATTAAGAGAGGGAGACCTAGGAAGAGTTCACAGTACATCTTATGTTACCTTGGAAGCATGACACCTGAATTTCTATGGTATCCTATGGGCTTTAGAGGTAGCCTTGTCCAGTAGGAAAGAGAAGAACACAGGGCATAGGTGGCAGGAGATGAAATAATTGTGTTTCCACTATGTTCTTTAGTCCTCAGAGTCTACCTCTTTAACCATAACAGAATGTTTGCACCTTCCCCAGTTGGTAGAGAAGAGGGATAGAGACACTTTTGAATTCTGCATTAAAAAGGAATCTGCTCTTACAAGTTGCTAATGGCTTAGCAAGTATAAGCTGTTAATGGGTTGTTTGTTTTGAGTTAGCTTGCTCCAGGTGCTACCCTGGAGGAGCTCAGGGTTGATGCCAGAAGATACAAACAGACTCTCAGCATCTCAAGATGTGCCTGATTCCGGACATCAGTGAATGGGGAAGATAACAGAGGGAAGATATCACCATTCTCAGAATGTGGCCAACCTTTTCCAGCTAACCAGAGGGACCAAACCGATCTCCACTGACGCCTTTGTCCCCTCCCATGAGCCTCCTGGGGAAAGGAGATGGAAGTTTCTCTAGGGTGTTAACCAAATTCTTTCTTAAGTTCTAACTTGAAGACTCAGTTTTTACCTCTGCTCATTGGTGTTTGTGGTGGTGCCTCACTGGTGGTCTCCAACTGTGCTCGTGTTTCCAGACTCTGGACAACTTATGCCAAGACCTGAAGAACCAAACTCAACGTGGTAAAGTAACACCAGATTGAATACATGAGCAAAGCAAAGGTTCAGAATAATTACATTCCAAGAAAGCAGTGGGCTCTCCGTGAGATTTACTCAGGAGCCTCACGTTACTTTATGGGTTCAGGAAGAGGAGAGAGAGTCTGGTTGCTAGTGGAGTGTGGGTGGCTTTCTGTTTTTGGGATAAGTCTGAGTTACATTAAGCCTTTGCTCACTGTCCACACCCTTCCCCGTGCCTCTGATTTTAATCCTATCCATGGCTACTCACGCATAAACATAAGATGTAAATAAGACAATTTCCCCTAAAACTTCACTTATAGAACACAGTTTGCTTTACTGAGCACATATCTCAAACCAGTCCAGACTAGATTGGCCCACTGCCACAAATTCCAGTTTTATCATAATTATCATAAAAAAGAAATCGCTAAGGTTTCTCAGGAGCTGTTAGGATAGAGCAGCCGCTTGCTTTGTTTAGAGAGGAGTGTGTGTAGCCTGATGGGGGTGGGGCTCCCAGTTGCTGGCTAAGCTGTGTGTGTATGGCTCAAGTTAAGCAGAGTCACGGGTTTGTAAGTTACACCTAGAGTTGCCTGCCTCGGTGTTTGGAAACACGATCTCTGGTGTCCTGGTTACGCCAAGGCCCTGAAGTTTTATCCCATCGCAGCACCAGCTGCCCAGCATCTTGCTGTCTGCATCAAGCCAAGGAGGATGAGAGTCTTTATGCACCATTCCTGAAGCATAGCTCCTTCATACAGTCCTGCCTCATCTGAAGAACAGCTCCTTAGCCTCACACGCAATGTGCAGTGATAGGAAAACTCGGGGATGTCTATTTAAAGGCCCCGTTGTCTAAAATAACATTCAGGGCATTAAGAACATTTTTAGTTTCCTCGCTCTTGAAGGAGTCAGCCTTGCTAGATTTTCTGCTGCTACACAGCGTCCTCTTTCCCTGGGTTCTCAAGTAGAGAGTGTCTCACTTTTCTCTACGTCCCTCACCAGAAGTGTTCCCAAAGGTTCTCAGCCTCCTGCTAGCCTACCGGGGGTTCAAAGTCTACTAGTTAAGGCTTTTAGAAGCGTGCATCTCGAAATCTTCTCAGCTTCTAGTTTTTTCCTTATTCCAACGTCACTTCCACATTGCAGAGACCCAGTGTCTGTGTTCTTTATCTTTTCTTTGTAGTAAATCATGCCAAAACTTAACTGCTTAAAACATTGTCTTTCGTTACCGTCTCTATTCGCTGTGGCAGACTATTACAAGGATGCAAATACTAACAGCCACTGACCCTTGGGGGACTCCGGGTAGCTAGGACCATGTGAGTCAGAGCAAACCGAGATGAAATTCTAACAGAATCCTGATAGCTGGATGATGGTGGCTGAACTGTGAACTCCAGCTGTAAGGCTGGAGAGACTCCACACAAAGTGATCGATCGGTGGGGAGCTCAGATTCTAAGCAACACCTCATGACTGTGCAGCCCGCATAATCTTTTCAGGGGGCGTTTGGATGGACCACACTCATAGACTTTTAAGATGTCTTAGTCAATTTTCTATTGCTGCTAAAAGACACTATGAGCACAACAACTGTGCCCCCCACCCAGAGAATAAACGTGGTTTTCTGGTCTTCCTTTCCCGTCTCCTCCCTGTGGGGCTGGAAAGCCATCAGGGAAGCGTTTGTATCCAACAAACCTGGGCTTTTAATAATTTGGTTTGATTTGGTCTGATTTGGATTATTGTGTCAGTGGAGAGGCTTATGGGATGCAGAAACTTTTCCGGGCTGGTGTATAGTTTCAGAGGTTTAGTTCATTATCAGGTTGGGAAGTATCACAACATGCAGGGAAATGTGGTGCTAGAGAAGGGGCTGAAAGTTCTACTTCCGAATCTGCAGACAGCAGGAAGAGAGAGTCATTGGGCCTGGCTTGGGCTTTTGAAACCTCAAGACCTGCCCCCCAGTGACATACTTCCTCCAACAAGGCCACATCTTCAAATAGTGCCACACCCTAAGCATTTGCTCATACGAACCTATGGGTGCCCTTCTTCAAACCACCACAGATGTGGAGTCTTCATAATTATGGCTTCGGGTATTTTCCTGTTGATGGTGATGCTGGATTCTGTCCCCCCTCCCCTAACTTTTGAGACAGCTTTTACTCTGTAGCCTAGGTTGTTCTAGTCCTTCCTGTGCAGCCCCCAGTCCTCTCAACCCACATTAGTCTTGCTGTGTTAGTCTCCAGTGCTGGGATTACAGGAATGAGCTGTCAAGTCTGGCTGTAGTTGTCCTGATAGACGGTGGGTATTACAGGTACTGTGATGTTCCTTTCTGTTTCCAACTGAGCCTCATTTTCAAAGAACTCTGTTCTTTTTTAAAATTTTTATTTTTGTAGGTGTGTGTGTGTGTGTGTGCTTGTGTGTGTGTGTGTGTGTGTGTGTGTGTGTGACTATGAGAATTTGTATGCATGGACCCACAGAAGCCAAAAAAGAGTATTGAGCTGGAGTTAGGAGAGGCTGAGAACCACCTGATTGATATGGGTACTGGAAAATGGAACTATGCTTTTTATTTTTAATAAGTGGTTTATGCTGGAGTCAAATTTGAGTGACTGTGGTCTATGCACACAGATTTAGGTTGCCCACATTCCATGTTCAATGTGAAAGCAGTTTCATGAAGCATTACAGTTTTGCAGAGCCAAGTCCTAAGTCAAGGCGAGTTTAAAAGACATTCCTGGCCACACCAGAGAGGCACACCCAGCAAGACGGGAGATTCTTTTCTTAAGTGTCAGGGCATTAGCTGGTGATTCTTAGATTTTGGGTTGTTGGACTCTAGTGGTCCAGCAAAAGTTCTTAATGGTTGAGCTGTGACTCCAGATCCATCTGTTCTTTTAAACCCATTTTTAAAAATGATCTGTTTTCCCTTTGCTCCAATGCTAAGTGTGTGAAAATTTCTCTTATAGCTAGCTAATAACTTTTTTTGACTAAAAATATACCGCTCAAGTCAAAAATTTTATCCCGAGTGTCAATTTCTAACCTCTTCATCATTCATTTGTCTCTTGTAGTAATCTAAGCTTATTGATTTATTTGTCTGCTTGCGTATGTATGTATGTATGAATGAATGTATTAGGCTTTGCAGAGCATTCCACGCTGCCCTGGGATTAACAATCCTTCTATCTCAGCACCTCAAATTCCTGGGATTACAGGCTCATGCAACCATATCTAGCTTAATCTGAGCTTTTTAAAGATAGGAATCTTTCAGATTTCTGTTACAATGTTTCTTCCTGATAGAGAACTGCAGATAGGTGTTTAACAACCCCATTCTAGCTCTTCCGTTTCTATCACACACAGAACTAGAGAAGCACATTTCTTAAGCAGCTTATTTTTAATAGCTCCAGAGCTACACTGCTACATACTTTGGTGTCCTTTCTTTTTAATGTTATCAGCAGAAATGCCTTTCTTTTCCACACTCTAAGGAGATTATCTCAATTAGTGTGGACTCTCTTCCCTCAGGTCCCTTCCTCCACTTGCCTTGGGGGATTTTTCTTGGCGTTTTCCCAGCTCTTTTAGTCCTGGTGGTATAGATGCTGTTGTGCTGGGGTTGCATATTGGTGGCGCTATATACAGAGAACAACTTGGATGATGACTGTGTAGTCCCAATTCACCCCCACACTTTCTGAAGAGGCTGTCAAATATAGATTACATAACCTTGTGACAAAAAAAAGTAAAAGAAAAGGAAATCTGCTAATAACATTCTGTGGAGGACATGGATAAAGAAGCAACTGTCTCTGTGAGCGTGTGTCTCTGTGACTCTCTCTCTCATACACACACACACACACACACACACACACACACACACGCACTTCCCTCTCTTTGCAGATTTTACACTTCTCCTTTCCAGTTCTCACACATGACCACAGAAGGTCACTGAGTTAGCCAGGATCTCTGTGATGCAGATATTGAGATGGAGTTAGGACCACGGAGAAGTGATGGGTAATGCCTACGGCAGAAAAGAGAAAGGAAACTAGATTGGATAAAGAATACTTCATATTATAATGTAAATTAAAAACCTCAAGTAAAATGGGCAGGATGATGGATCAGCAGGTTAACCACGTCAGAGCATGATGCATACATAGCAAAATTCAAGACAATCCAACGGAGAGACCTCCAGATCAAATATGACATGGTAGGGATATTTATTCTGCGCTGTGGGGAAAGCCTGAGGGTCTAGTATCTCTATGATGCTTAGCTGTCAGAGTGGAGTATCCACCGCTTCAGTTCCGAGTGGAAGAGATTCTGAAGACAATGACAGCAGGCTGGAGGTTAGGTCTTTTGATCCTCTTAAATCCACTCTCTTCCTGAAAGGAACACTAAACGTTGCATGCTGTGGACATCAAGGCCACCAGGAATACCTAGGTCCTCTTGAGGTAAAGACTTTGCCTGTGGAGGAATCTATGCATACCCGACTCCAAGCAACTGAGGATGAGCTCTGACCCCAGAGAGTAAAGTCGTGTTTTACAGAATGGTTTCTAGGACACCTGATACGCTTTGGACGAGGGGTTGGCCACTTGTTCAGAACCCGATTGCCCTTATAATGATGCATACAATTTGAGGGTTGGAAGTCACCAAGTAGAATAATATAGATACCATTTTATCTACTCTGGTACCTAGAGCTATGATGAAATGAGAGAAAGAGAAAAGAGAGAGGATGGAGGGAGGAGACAGACAGAAAAACAGACAGACACCCTCAGGGGTGTCCAATCCTCTGGAGCTATAGTTACAGGCAGTTGCAAGTTGCCTGATGCAGGTGCTGGGAACAAAACTCAGAACCTTTGTAAGAACAATACGTGCTCTAAGTAACTGCCACCTCTCCAACCCCCAAAAAGTCACATTTGTAGTCTGTTTCCATGGGTCAGGATCTGGGTACACATCAACTGAATCTCAGTGCTGCTGAAGTCATGGTTCTCATTGCAGCTCAGGGTCTTCTTCCAAGTCCAGTTACCTTGTTCAATGACAGGATTCGGTTCCTGGGCATCACAGGACTGAGCCTCGGTGCCTCAGGCCTCTTCTCTATCGACAGTCAGTCCACTGTGGATAGCTGCTTCCTTTCTGAATCGACAGGAGAAAAACCCAATTTCTTAGAGAACTTTTCAACTGATTATGTCATCTCCCGCAGTATGAACTCCTTTTAAGCTTAGAATCGACTGATTTAGGGGCTGAGGTTCACTTGTGCAGTATCATTTGCCTCCTATTACAATAAATCAAGACATTGGCTCTCAGTGGATGAAATGCCTGCTATACAATCATGAGGACCTGAGTGTAGTTTCTCAATACTCACATCAGAGCCCGGGCCTGGGAGGTCCATGTGCCTCTAATTGTGAGGCTGGTGTCTTGGAGACCGTTGCATTCTCAGAGCTCTCTAGTCAGCCAGTGGACTGAGCCAGCAAACACCCGGTTCATTCGGAGAGCCTGCGGTGAAAGGCAAGGTGGAGAGTAGCAGAAAGGGACCTGATCATTGCTTGATATTTTGAACACATTCTGATAATAAAGCTTGCTTTGAGAAAGAGGGCGGAGCTAGCCACTAGCTGACCAAAATTAACCATAGAAGTTTTGGAGGACAGAGGACAGATAGGAGCCAGGAAGTGGTAAGGTGGATCTGAGGGAGGATCTCGAGCTTTTGGATTGAGGGACGGAAGATATAGGAGGTCACAGGGGGGCTTCTCTGCTTATTCAGATTCTTACCCCGATATCTAACTCCCGTTTTTTTATTGATAAAGAATAATTAGATAAATGCTTCAACCGATGTTGACCTCTGATCTCTATATGCACCTGTGTACCTGCATATACATACACATTCTTTTTTAAATAAAAATAAACTGTGAATGATATTTCATATTTTCAGATTCTTCCCTCTCAAACAGAAGGGATCATATGGATGTGTAGGATGGGTGTCAGGAGGGGAGTCTTGGGATCTATTTTAGAATTCTATTAGTCACAAATGGACTCAGTCCAAGTGCTGTGAAACTTACACAGAGAAACACACAAGCGCGCGCACACACACACACACACACACACACACTTTTTTAGGTTGCTTATTTTCTCTGATAGTCATGTTCAGAATCTTCAAATTACCAAGAAAGGCTCTGGTCTGGCTTGCATGGGCTACCCCATCCAGATCCTATCAGCTGAGGCATGATTCTATGCTGTGTGGGATGGCCCCAAAGAGTTGACTTCTGTGTTCAGTGACATGGTCCCAGCTGTGTGGAATGGCCCTGAGGGGTCACTGCTGTGCTTTTAAGAAGTAGCTGTGGTCAGAATGAGGGAGATCAGGTGGGCAGGGAAGAAGCCAGAGATACTGGCCACAAGCTGATTCCCACAGAGCAAGGTGCACATTCTTCATAGGAAAGGCAGTGGAGGAGTAAGCAGACGTGGCTGCGGCCATCAAAGAATAATAAATGTGGTCAAGTGACCTTTTAGTGTCACCCTCAATCTTCCACAAAATAAACTCATCATACAACCAGGTTATATTCATAAACATTACACTAAAAAAATCAAAACAACACCAAGCAAATACAAATTTAAGTGGGAGGCTAGTGAGGTGGCTCTGTGGGTAGGAGAGCTTGCCACACAAACCTGATGACCTCAGTTCTACTGATGGAAGCCACAACAGAAGGAGAAAGGTGTCCTCTGACCTCTACAACCACATGGTAGCATGCATACACTCCTCCCCACCACAAGAGCATACCACACATACACACACACACATACATATACACAAACACACACACACACATATACACACACACAGCAAAATTAAGGTTTTAGAAAATCTGAGTGGTGTGCAGGGGGCAGTGAGGAATGCTGGCTAATATGTGCTGTTTTATTGAGGAAGAGGAGGAAACGTTGTAAAGTTGTATATTCGTCTTCCAGCGATTACTGTGGAAATGGCCTAGGAACCATGAGACTCCTGATCTATAAGTACAAATCTCTTCATACCCCTTCAAAAAGATGCTGGGTTCACTGGAGGAAGTAGATGATTCCAGGTTTGGAACGTTGAAGATCTCAGGCCACCTAGCAAATCTTGCTATGTCTAAAAGCAAGAGTTGAGGCAGAGCAGGGACAAGTGAAAGGTGTCAACACTCTCAGCCCCTTCGTATCAGAAACAGAGCTGTGTGTTACAGCCAGGGCTTGCTTTCATGGGCTCCTGTACCAGACGTTGAAACACAGAAGAGGTCTGACATTTGGGTACCTGAGAGGACCTGTGGATGCTGCTGGAGGTGGGGGTAGAAGCATTGCTTGTGCCTGCCAGGCACTGGAAATGACTCAACAGCTTTTTGTGCCCTCTTTAAGTGGCACTGAGTGTGTCTCACACTTTTTTGTTGCTGTTGTATTTTTGTAATCTTGACCTCCTCACTCCAGAGCTCCTGAGATTTCATAATCACAGACACACTGCTCACTCATTCCCAGGCAGGTTTAGTATCTTGTCTTCGAAATGCTTATGACTAAAAATGATTTGCATCCCAGATTTGGAATATTTGCATACATATAATGAGATATCAATGGGGCTCAAGTGCAATCTTGAGATTGGTTTCATTTTATTTATACCTTATACACATAGCCATGGAGTTTCCCACAGTGTCTTAGCTAAGTTTTCATTAAATAGAGATTGGTAGAATGAAATTTTCTCCTATCCTCATGTCAGAGCAAAAAAGTTCAGAGTTCTGTAGTATTTCACATTTCAGACTTTCAGGATAGACACGATCTACCTCTATGATGGCCCTTAAAGGACCACAAACCATGGCGATCCCTAAGATTCACTTTCCCCTGTGTAGAGCGATTGCTGCCTTCAGTGTCACCCTCGCTGAGAATGAGGACACATAAATTCCCACCTACTTGGGATAGGAAGTGTGGAAAACATGGTCATTCTTGAGTTGCTCAGCCCAGGTACTCAAGTATCTGCTTATCCTTAGACCACAAAGGGAGCCATGGTGATTCCATTTCATTCTTGGGATGCAAAGCCAGAATCCTCTGTGGCAGATACTTCATTCCTTTCTCATAGGACCGGACCCAACTGTGTCTCCAGCATGTAAAGCCCTGCTCAGACCCGCTCCCTCGGGAACTCGCCTGGCTGATTATTTAAACATCCCTAAGGTGTGACTTTATGTCTTAGTTGGGGTTTTCATGGCTGTGAAAAGACATTATGGAAACTTTTATAAAGAAAATAATTAATTGGGATGGCTTGCTTAGAGTTTCAGAGGTTCGGTCCATTATCATCATGATGGGGAGCAGGGGCACATGCAGGCAGATGTGGTGCTGGAGCTGAGAGGGCAACATCTTGCAGGCAACAGGAAGTGGATTGGCAGTCACACAAGGGGTGGGGGGAGGAGAAGCTTGAGCGAAAGAGACCTCAATGCCTGCCCCCATAGTGACACACTTCCTCCAACAAGACCCCATCTCCTAACGGTACCACTCCCTTTAGGAACCATTTTCATTCAAAACTACATTCCACTCCCTGGTCCCCAAAGACTTATAACCATATTATAATGTAAAAGGAGCGGTGGGCTGCATTTCTGCCCGGCTAGCTTTACCCGAACTAATTACACGGAAACTGTATTCTTTTAAACACTGCCTGGCCCATTATCTGTAGTCTCTTATTGGCTAACTCTTACATATTGTTCTAACCCATTTCTAATAATCTGTGTAGCACCACGAGGTGGTGGCTTACCAGGAGGATTCTAACCTGCGGCTGTCTCGGAGAGGAGAGTCATGGCGACTGCCTGCTTCTGCTTTCTTTCTCCCACAATTCTGTTCTGTCTACTCCACCCACCTAAGGGCTGGTTTATCAAAAAGGCCAAGGCAGTCTCTTATAGACAGATAACCCTCCTCCATCATCATAATACAAAAATAATGCATTCAGACCTACTTCAAAAATCCCCATAGTCTAGAACAATCTCAAATTTGTTTCAAAGTCCAAAATCTCTCCTGAGTTGCATGGCACTCTCTTAACTATAACCCCCCCCCCCCCGTAAAAATCAAAATCAAAAAACAGATCACATACCTCCAACATATAATGGCACAAGATGTGCAAGGAAGGGAGCACACCTATCAAGGAAATACTGGACAAAAGAAAGACTGAAAACCAGCTGAACAACTCTAAATTCTACATCTCCACGTCTGATGTCAACATGCGCTCCACAACTCCAACTCATCCAGCTTCCTGACTGTATCACACTTCTTTCTCTTGGGCTGGTTCCAATCACTGTTAGTAGCTCCCCTCAGCAGGCATCCCATGACTCTGGCATTGCCAACATCTTGAGTTCTCCAAGGCAATTCAGGCTTCAACTTCACAGTTTCACGCAATGTCACCCCTGACACGAGCCTGGCCTCAGCGACTTAATTCCATAATGCCTTTCTTCTATCCTTAAGTCTTAACCCAGAGTCTCGTGGCCAAAGCTGCCAAGTTCTGCTGCTTACTAGGGCTGGAACATGGTCCCCTTGTTCACTTACATCTTCACCAGCTTTCTGTCTTTCCCTGCCTAAGCTTGGCAGTCCTAAAACTTGCTCTGTAGACCAGGCTGACCTCAGACTCATGATGTTGCTTATCACGAGAGCAGGAAAACGTACGGTCTCTCCTGAATGTGTGTACCTTTGCACCATCATCAAGTCAGACCATCACGTGTCAGGGACCACCTGTGTTTGCTTTTCCTAGGCTAACAGAAGTCTCCTCAGACTAGCTTTGGAAATAAAGTTGTATCCAAATGATGTACGTTATTTTCCAAGATGCACTGGCAAGCCCGTAATAGCTTGGGAATTCAGTCTTAGCAATTTTCCTGTTCATAGGGAGTTCCCAGTTCTAAGGCAGTTCTTTTCCACGAGTCTGTATCATCTCTCCTGAGTCCTCTAGTGGAGAAAGAGCCAGGCAGACACAAGGACACCTAGTTTGCCTTGACCTTCTCATGGCATGCCGTGAGGTATTCGATGACTGTCTCAAATGAAGCGTTAAAAAAAGGACCTAACCACTTGGGATTTCAGTTCTTAATCACCTAGGCAAGCAAGTTAGTTAATAAACAAACAATAAGTAAATAATTTATTTGGGATCATAGCTTCCGAGGGCTCAAGTCCATGACCACTTGGATCCCTGTTTCTGAGCTCATTATGATGTACAATTTTCCTGTGGCGGGAATGGGGGGCGCGGGGAGGAGGAGCTGTTCATCTCTTGGTGGGCAGGGACCAGAAAGACAGCAAAGGGCCAAGGAGAAGATATCCATGGACCTGTCCCTAATGGCCTACCTCTTCCAGCTCTGACCCATCTTCTAAAGTTCTTGGAAACTCTCAAAATTGCACCATGAGCCTGTGACCAATGTCCCAGCATCTGAATCCTGCTGGGCCATGTCCAAATCTTAATAGGAAGCAAACAAGGAAGGTCTTCCTGGTGGGGAAAAGAGAGATGATGGGAAATCTCCCCTCCAGCATCCTGAGGACACATTTCCTCCTTCCTGTTAAGAAGCTTCTTGTCAGGATCTGCCCCCAGAATCCTGAGATTAAAATGTGCTTCGGAAGCAGCTCTTTGCAAGTCTGGTGCCAGAGATCAGTGCTGGGGAGGGTCACCAGCTGTGGAAAGGAGTGTCTGGGTAACAGGCCCACAGCGAAGAAACTTAGCGGGCTTCAGGAATCAATGACGTCGAGATGGTCCTTCCTCTTCCTCCTCCTTCTCTTCTTCTCCTTCTCCTCCTCCTCCTCCTCCTCCTCCTCCTCCTCCTCCTCCTTCTTCCTCTTACTACCTCAAGAGAGTCTCATAAACCCAGCCCATTCCTTTGCGGTATTATATGTGCCAACTGAGATCCCAGGCTGCAGGTTTCTCTGTCTCCTCTGGTCACCGACTCCTCTCTCTACCTCATTCTCTCAACACCACACTGTCTTTAACCTCACTGTCCTTGTTTGACCTCTGAGCTGAACTGTGGAATTCAGCTGTGTTGTGGAAGACGGAACTCATAAAGCCCTGGGAACTGCTGTGAGCAAGCTGTAATGAGTATTTCTTTGGAATTTCCCTCAGGCTTGAAAAAGTAGGTTTGAGCTCCTCAAGAGCAGTGGCTGGGACACTCAAGAACCACATTACCAATACCGAAGGGCTTCTGAGCAAATGGAAGGAATTTAGAAAACGATTTGATCCTGGCTGATAAAGACAGCACCGCTGTGATAAGGAAGTGTTAGTACCTTCCTTTCTCCGGCCTGGCCTGGCCTAGCCCGGCTCAAGAAATTATGGTTTGTAAAGTTATCCAGTAACATCTAGCATTTTCCGAGGCCTCAATTAATGTTTAAAGAAACACGGCAGTGGAACCACCAACTTGAAATGGGTCTTATGACCCATTTCTCCAAAGGATCATGGTCTTTTCCACTAATATGTCCTGAATACCAAGTGTCTAGCTCTTCTTGCACATTTTCCATGCATAGGGTTCATTTTATTCTATTTTGCCATTTTACAAGCAAAAAAGAAGGTGAGCCTCAGAGGGACTGTAACTTGATGTTGGATCAAATAGGTAAAGGGTGCATTTATGTGGAACACACATATATTAAGCTTAGTAGTTTTCAATCAGAAAGCCAAAGTTCAAAATCGATCCTTGAAATTTTTTCCATTCCATCTTTTCTCCTCCTATTATATAAGTTATAAAAAGTCATTACGTGCAAACATTTATTTGGAAAATGTAGTCAGAAGGAAGGCAAAAGGAAAAATTCTTTGTTTGGAATTCCAGTTTTTTTCTCAAGGATGACTTCTGTTCATGAAATTCCAATCTCGGCCACCAGAGGGCAGTCAAAACATTAAAAATGAGCCCCTCCGTGCTCGGCGTAAAACCACGTTTCGATCACGCTAAATCTGGATTTTGTTTCATAGTTCAGTTCACATCCTGAAAATATCTGTTTCTCTCAAGTCTGAAATTAACATGCCATGCCAATTTTAAAAAAATACATAAACGCTCAGAGGAGCGTACGACAGAAGCTCTTTTTTCATATAGTGATGTTAAAATGGACCAGAGACATATGCTTCATACTGGTCTATTGGCAGGGTGTAGACGTGCCACATTGAATATTCAGTGGCATAGTCAAAAAGCACTCTCCTGTGTCCAGAAATCCAGCATCTACTCAGTTACATACCATCTGGGTTTCTCACTAAACTGTCCAGAAAATTAGCCCCATCCCCACCAGAATCATAAATAAGAGCTCTTTGCTCAGAACTATAGATCATAACTCCCATAAGGCTTAGTTGACACTGGATTTCACTGTGGAATGGATCCTTACTGAAGTTGAGGCTGGTAGGCTGAAACTATTGGGATTAAAGGAAATATTTGAAATAGATATTGCCCCGGTAGGGATCAGACAGCATCCTTGAGGGCCTAACAGGATTTCTTGCTATTCCATCCTTTCAAACAGAGCAATAGTCTGTTGTCTTAAAGATGCCTTATTAAAACTAAACAAAGCAGATGTTAGCCCCTGGCCGATTCTGTCTGTCTGTCTCCTCATCTGATTTATCTGAGGCCACGACCTGAAGGCAATGAGTATTTCTGGACAAATTATGGTTTAATTTATATCTACCTTACCACTGACCCCTGCTCCTGAGCCCGGTTCCTGTCTTATCCCCTCAGCTCTAAACCGTGCTTCCTTTTCTCCACCGCTACGCTGCTTCCTCTACAAGTTCAAAGTCATACACAGCTACAGACAGAAGACCAAATCAAACACTACATTATACAGAGGAGAAATTTACACCAAGACCGTAAATTTTTTGTCTCTACTTGCCTGATACTGTAGACATTTAAGTGGGTGTTTTTTTTAAACGATCACTTGTTAATCCGGGATCATGAAACCAATTAAGGGGGTTACAAGTGCATCCTCAGATGGTTTCTGTGCAGTAAAGCTAAATGATCTGGACCAGAAGCACTTATGTTCTCAGTGGGTCATGGTGGCAAGAGTCTTTCTTATAGATGTGGCCGGCAAAGTAACCAAGGCACAGATTTAACTCCTTTATTCCTTTTTTCTAGGTTAGAACATAAATTTCATTTGAAAAACTAATACTTCAACTGACATTTTGATTATCAAAATGTGAAGCTTTTTTTTTTTTAAAAAAAAAAAGAACAAGAATTTTGGTTGACTCCTGAAATAACTAGCCAAGCCTCGGGCTTCCTGCTCTGACCCTGCCGGCCTCTCTACCCTAAACTCAGTCCTTCTCATTTTAAAGTCTGCACATGGTTGTGTAGATGCCCCTGTCTTCTGTAAACACGATGCTCTCTGTCAACTTAAGCACCCCAAATATGCCATGGCATGGCTCTTTCTAGAAAACTCCCTCAGACTCCAAGCCTAACTGCTATCGGCATCCCCCGTGGAAGCCTTGGTAAGCAATTAGTAAAAAGACCATTCAGTGTTTCTCATCTTTTAATTACTGGGCCATTGTCTCATCTCTAGGGATATCTTTGGTTATCTGCCACCCTAGTTCCCTGCCATCTCCTCTGTGAAAATGTAATGTCACAGACTCGCAGATGGCTCTTTGTGTCCTGTGGCAAACCACTGTATAATTATACAGTATCTGAGATCTTACATACTCTCTCTCTCTCCCTCCATCTATATCCCAGTTCTCCCCTCTCTCTCTTTCCATGAAACCTATAGTTTTTCCTGCCTGGGAATAATTTGGCTTCTGCTGAGAATTCAGGAAACAAAGTTTAGGAAGAAAGACTTTACTCTTAAGATAGTTACGAATAAACAAATCAACTTTGTTCCCACTGACAGGTTTATGTCAAATATTAGAGAGCTTAAGAAAAAACTGATGACATAAACAATAAATTTCAACTGCCTTTGACCTACTAAGGGTGGAGCCGTTGGTAGCCAACTGCAGGGGTATAAAACAGGAGCCTTGAAAGCAGCCTGCGAGCCAGAGTTGGGCTGTGAGGTAGCATGGATGTGTATTTCAGGGGTAGAGCACTTGACCAGCACCAAGACTCTCTTTTTATTTAACATACCTGAAGATCTTCCACAGTGGTTGCCTCCTTCTTTTTCAGTGGAAGGTGCTTTTGTTGAAACAGGACATGTGGTTTATTTTTGCCCATTTACTAGCAGGACATCAGCTAGATTAATCCTTGGTTTTATGAACTTTGATAAGAAAGAGTTGAAAGCGTTGACATTCTTCTCTCTGTTCTCACTATTTTGAGCACTAAGATTCTCCATCGATCCTGTGCTCCTCTGCCCTCCTCTGAGAAGCTCCACATTCTCCCTGTCAACCCCGTCTCGTTGTTGCTGAGTCAAATGTACAACAGAGTGATGTGGCTCAGAAATCCCTTAAGCACAAAAGACTAAAAAGAAAAATATATGACAAGGAAGTGGAGTTGATTGACTGTTTGAAATTGACTGACTGATTGTGTGTGTGTGTATTTGTTTCTCATAAACCGCAACTAGAATCTTCTCTCTCTGCTTGGAAATTGCAGGTAAGGGGGGAGAGGCCCGACTAGCTCTTGTGCGGAGAGAAGCGCACACTTCATGGCTCATAGGGACGTCGAACCTAGAGATCTTCAAGCTCTGCCTTCCTTTGTCTCTTGGGGCCAGCAAGGCAGAAAGGCCGACAGGACTGCCAAGGCTAACTGAGCATGTAAGAGCGATCCTTGCCTGGCTGGCTTGTGCAGCCTGTGAGCTAAATGTAACTCAGAGAGGCGGCTATAAATAGCCATTCATTGTCAGCGTGTGTGAGAAAAGACAAGAGTGAGTGTGTGCTGGTCTGATTCAGGCCCCTTTAAACGGCTGTGTGGACAGGACTGTAAACGAAGCGGCTGGGATTGGAACAAGGATCCGCAGGCACTGCCAGGGGCTTGACACTCACGGAAGGGAAGCTGCTCAACGCTGGACTTGCCTCTGCTATGGCAAAAATCATCTTGAGGCACCTCATAGAGACCCCAGTGCGTTATCAGGAGGAGTTTGAAGCTCGAGGCTTGGAAGACTGCAGACTGGATCATGCTCTGTATGCGCTGCCAGGGCCAACCATTGAGGATCTGAGGAAAACCAGAGGCACGCCCCAGGTTCTTGCGGAGGACTCAGCCTCCACTGAGATGCCACCCGGAGAAGGCAAATCCCGCTTCCAGATCTTGCTGGATGTGGTCCAGTTCCTGCCTGAGGACATCATCATCCAGACCTTCGAGGGCTGGCTACTGATCAAAGCGCAGCACGGAACCAGAATGGACGAGCACGGGTTTATATCCCGGAGTTTCACCCGACAGTACAAACTGCCAGATGGCGTCCAAACCAAAGATTTGTCTGCTATCCTCTGTCACGATGGGATCTTGGTGGTGGAAGTCAAGGATCCAGTCGGGACCAAGTAAAATTGGTTCTTGTTCATACTGCAGGATGAGATGAAAGACGGCGGCGCGCGCACGCATGTTTAACTTTTGAGATGCTTTGCTGTAACTTTTATGAGGATTAAAAACGTATCCACAGTTCTTGGTATGTGGAGGTTGTCTTTCTTATCGGTGGTCAGAAAGGAAGGCTTTTGAATGTGTCTGAAATGGTGCTACTTTTATAAGGAAATCACCAGAGAACCAGCAGACGCTAATTTGGTTCTAGAGAGGACCCAACATTGTTCCTTGGTGAGTCTAACTTTCCAGAGAAGCAACGTGTATGATCTGTGGCAAAGCAGCCATGTTCAGTAAAGAGATTCTATTCTTAAGGATTCCATGGAAGGTCTCTGAACTGCTGAAAAGAGTTGGGGGTCCCTTCAGGGAAGAGCTTTTACCTCTGTGAATTTTACTTAAAGAGGACCCTTGTTGTAACTATAGAGTCAGACAGCTAGAATGCGGTGCTTGAGAGCTGGGTCTGAACCTAGTTAGGAGTCGCTACAGTTCTTGCTCCTCCCCCAAGCATCAGAGGGAATTTTCAGTTAGCTTGGTTTTAAAAAGTTCCAATCCAGACCTCATTCAGTTCTTAAAAACTAAACTGACCCAGGACTTTTGATCATAGACAGCGTATATTACTTGTGTGTTTTATTTGTTGACTCACAGTGTATATTGTCTCATAAGGTAGGTGTAGGAGACTAAAACATTGAATTGCTGAATTTAGTTAGGTCTCAATCCTCGCTATGACAAAGCAGAGATAGCAAGCGTCACGCATCTGCTGTCTGCTGGTGTAAAGTTTTAAATAGCTTTGCGGCCGGCAAGGACTCCCGAGCTCACGCAGCCATCTGAGTTCACACAGCGCATGCTCGTCACGACTAGACTAGCGCCTCTGTTCTCCCACACGTCTGCTTTGGCTCAAGCATGAGCTCGTGGCGGTTAAGAATTCCAGCTTTGGGAAGCTCGCCTTCAACAGCTGCGCAAGGCATTTTGAGTATTTGCTATCTCATCCCGTACATTCGAAATACTCCTGTGGAGGAAGCGGCTGTTTTTATGTCACTGGGCACCGGCTGTGAGCTGACGCGGAGCCCCGGGACAGTGCTAAGTATAGCAGGAGAACGACACCCCTATCACGGTGGACAGCTCTGTCACTGTGCAATTCCATCCTGCCTCCCTGGGAGTCAAGTTAAAACAGGGAAGACAGGAAGTGAGTTGATCAGGGAGTGAGTCAGTCAAAAATCAGGAATCAAACTCTGAGAAAGCCATTGCTCCTTTTTAATAACACTGAAGGGATTTGGAAGTCATCTGTTTATTTGAAGTTCATGTCCACGGCTGACATTCGGGGTGTGAGGTCTAGGATGAGACATCACTGTTTGAGAAATTGAATCTCCCAGGTCAGCACTGTGGCACAATACTAACAGGTGGGAGTGGGTTGCCAGATATGGGGAAAGGATTAGAAGTGGGGCACAATCTGATCCCCACCAAACATTGTTGCCATCAGAAGTAATTACATAACCAATCGTGTTTTGAGAAACAACGAACCCCTTGAGGCCTTTCATCTGGTGTTGATTTTCCTCTAGATTACACCTTCTTTCTACCCCTGAGGATTTTTTTTCCTTCAAAAATTAAAATTCAACACATCATCCTGTTAGCCCCCCCTTTTTTTTTCTAAGATAAAATTTAAAAGTATACGTGGCTATTTTAGGTTTCCAAACACTATGAAAAGTAAAGTGATTTGTTGTCAACCACCATGAATATCTAGTTCATGTTCCTGTATCACTTTTGACAACATGAGAGTTATCTTTGCATGAAATCTGACACCCTGGCCACTTTGGTCACTGTCCCCACTGTCAGCAACTCAAACCCATTCTCTGTGCTTCTCAACCCCATTGGCTTCATCGGCTTCATCCTCTGATGACGGCCACACTGTTCTGACTTTCAGTTGGTTTCACCCAATGAGTGAGGAAGGCACCTGGTCAGTCGTTCTCATCAACTTAGACCATGTAACCCAATATATGGACAAGTTCAACAGAACAGAGCCACCATATACGGGCTGCCCCTCACCCAATGAGTGACACCCACTGTGGAACAGAGGAGATGTAGCTAGCTCACCGAAGGAACAAGCTTGGGGCTTGTTTTTCTGCTTACTTCCACAGGGCAGCAGACTGAGACTTCGCCATGGCCCAGTGCCCCCCAGCAGAGGGCGCCCCAGGGCTATTCCCAGTCTTATGGGGCTCTGGGGTTAAAACACTGGTCCCATCAGCTGAAGGTGTGACTTTCTCACCTTCTTGTCCTGGGCACTACTCCATCCCTTGCTAATTCCCCATCTCTGCTACTCTCTCATAGACGGTGCGCTCATTAAAGTTTCTTGAGAAATAGAAATCTGCACCTGGTCGGAGTCTGGAGTGCTTGGTATTTTATAAGATAAGAAGGAAAAGGAGGAGGAGGAGGAGGAGTAGAAGTTTATATTTGCAGCCAGGAAGCTTCTCGAGAATGTACTTTTAGAAAAAAAAAAAGTAGGAATTCAAACAGAATTCCACAGATACCTTTTGAAATACCGTCCTGCTTAGCACAGTGCTGTTCCAGTCATACTTATCATTAGACCAAAAATAAAAAAATATAAAAAAAAGTGAAGTCTACTGTCTTGTTTAAAGGATGTTTTCAGCAAACAGTTACAAAACACTTCTTGGCCTGACCCTTCCTGGGAAGATTTTGGACGTGAGGACGGAAAGTGGCCTTGGTCAGGGACTTTGACTCTGCTTTCATCCTATCTGTTGGACTGAAGCATCTGGCACAGGCAGTCACAGTTTCTTGTTCCAGAAACCGAGGCACAGCCGCTGCTGTTGAAAATATTCCCTGGTGACGACAGGGCTGAGTGGCGAGGACCGGGGTGGGGAGCCTCATGGATGGAAGACCAACGTGTTGAAACACGTAGATAGCATCTGTGTGGATGATCTAAAAAGTAAACAGCCACCGAGAACAAATGATTTGAGCAGCTCCAGTGGGGCAGGATTCCTATTTGTTCTTGGTAAGGATCTGAAATATCCTTATTCGATATTCTTATTAATGATATGAAAACGCCTGTTAGTGGAATTTAGCGTGTCAAAACTTACTTTTGGAAACAAACGATTTACAACCTCGGGTTAAAAAAAAAATCTTCAAGCTTGACAAAAATCTGTTTTTTACCAATAGCTGTTGTTCTCTTTAGCAGCTACTAAAAACTAAGGTGGAAAGAAGGTTAAAATATTGGTTCGCTGTATTAATTTTTAGTTTATACCCTTTTTTTCCTTCCTTCCTTCCTTTCTTCCTTTTATTTATTTATTTATTTTGGATAGGGACTTGTTATGCATTCAGAATAGTCCTCTCTCGGCCTCGGTGACTGAGCATACAGGCATGATACAGGCGTGCAGTACCAGGCTGGATTCTTACCTACTACATTTGGACAGAGAGTCTTTGTCTCAGTCAACTAGTTGGCTAGATGTTCCCACAAAACGACAGAAGTGTTTTAAATCTGGAAAAAAAAAAAAGACGGCTCTATGTGACTGGCGGTTACTTTTCCTGTGTGTTTAATGGACCGTGTTTACACAAACACCATCCCGCTAAAGACTGCTTTCCAGCCTGAAGGACAAAGACACCAGGCATCCAGTATGTGAAGCCCCATCGTCCCCATGACGTCATTCTTTGTGACCTGTCACTCAGACGCTCTGTGTTCTTCATGTCTGTTTTTCTTGGTGGTCAATAGAAACATAGATTAACATATTAAAGTCAATACGAAAAGGTCATTTTCAGGCTTTAAAAATAATGGGAGCCAACATTTTTTTTCATATATTTCCAGGTTATGTTGTTGTGTTCATACATTTTGGTGGCTTGTCGTTATAAATGTATATAATTGTAAGTTAAAAACTAATAATTTCTCTGTATTGGATTGTTCCTTAAATTATTATGGAAGCCTGCTTCCTTTTGGAAGCTTTAGCTTTAATCTATTTTAAGCGAAGTACCACTTGCTAGTACGTTAGCGCCACCGTGTCTTTCTGCTCTACATTCAGTGCGATAGTGCGGTTTCTGGTGCTTTCAGTTTGTGTTTTTTTTTTTTCACTGCTGGGGAAATTGTACTTAACAAACAAAACAAAAAATAGATAATGAAAGCTTAGAAATATATTACTCATCTAGGACTCTTTTAACATATTTTAGTCCTATAGACTGGGGATGTGTTCTGTTATTCTATGTAGAAAACATAGCTGGGGGTGGGACTGGAGATATGGCTCAGTGGTTAAGAGCATTGCCTGCTCTTCCAAAGGTCCTGAGTTCAATTCCCAGTAACCACATGGTGGCTCACAACCATCTGTAATGAGGTCTGGTGCCCTCTTCTGGCCTGCAGACATACACACAGACAGAATATTGTATGCATAATAAATAAATAATAAAAAAAGAAAGCATAGCTAGGAAAATATTCTCAAAAACATTTGAACTACATGCTGTGATAGGTCATATTTATTAAACATATTATTATGCCAAGGATTTGACTCCTTATATGGAGGCCAAATATCCTAGTTTGTGTGGGATGTCCCAACTTCTCTGTGAAGTCTCATGTCCTGAGAAATCCCTTAGGGTGAGCCTGATCCACTGGCTCCCCTATCTCTGCACCTCATCTAATCTTCAGAACTATAATATAATGTGTGTTACGTATGTATGTTGAGATATCACACGGTACCACATAAATAAAATAATTACACTTAACACAAATTTTAAATGTTTCAACGAGAATGTCAGGTACTCTGATTTAACCATTACATGCTATGTATGTATCAATGATCACTGTGCCTCACAAATCCACACAATTAAAACGTAATAATGACCAAAACAATCCCCAAGGGCACAGCATGGATACTGTAGCTGTCCCCATTCTGCAGATGGGAAATTTAGGTAAACAAACTGCCCCAAATTTTCCAGCCTAGAGAGAGACAAATTTGGATCTCAAATTCCTAATTGTTTAATTAATTTGTTTGCTTTCAAAGTGTACCTCCCTAGTTATTCTGGTCTTGGCCACGAAGCCATAGGTTTCCTTATGTGTCTTTATCCCTGGGATCACGTTGTTCTATGGACTTCATACC